GTTTGTGTTGGAGTTTAAACGCTAGAGAGTTCATCACCGCAATAGAAATAAGTTTCCGCTCTTATTAGCAGTTTAATCATCTGTGACTATTCGTTAGCTCAGATTATGAGTTTATAATGGTGCTCCTTTTGATGCTAATAATGTCAGCTATTTCACAGTCAAGGTCCATAGCACATTTATGAATGAACTCACTCGGGACTTTCTAAAAAGAGTAAAAAAAAAAAGTAAAGAAAATCCCTTAAGATAAACAAGAGTAATGAGCTGGAAAACAAACACGCCACGCTCGTCTGAGGGAAATATATTTTTCTAGCAATAAATCATTATTCACTTCGGCTCGAAAGAGTAACGAAAAAAATCGCGGGTGACGTCATGAGCTTACCAATGTGTACCAAAAGAAAATATATATATATACTTTTTTCATTTGTTTTTGAAGGGGTTACGGCACCGACCTTTATTTTTTTCATACCACAAATGTGTTATTTATTTTAAAAGAGAACAATAAGCCTGAGCTAGGTCTAACATTTTTTGTTTTTGTTTTGTTTTGTTCTATTATTATAATAATTCGATTATCATTATTTCCTTTAGATAAATAGACCTAAAGGGAAATAAAAATCTTTGGGGCTTTTTCTCATCTATCAGTAATCATCTTGTACTCCTCCATTTAGTAAAACAGAAGTAGCACATCAAAATATATTTTCCTCGGCCTGTTGTGAACCAAGGGTATTGTCCCGTAGAGTTTGTGGCACTAGCTGAGAGAGGTTAAACTCAGTGGGGAAGACTGGATTAAAGCTGCAAGGATCGGAAGTAAATGACTATAAAAGATGGGGAAAGAAGTTATTGTCAATGGATTTACTACTTCAAGCACGGCGTTCCTAGCCCAAGACTGACGTGTTGTGTCTTCCGATTACGGTAGACGAAATTAACGTACCTCGCAAACGCACGCACGCAAGCACACAACACACCACACACACACACACACACACACATACACAAACACACACACATAAGCAGCGCAGCTATACAATAAATCACACAACTTATTCCTGAAAACACGAGGGAAAAGGCACATGCGCACCCAGCTCACACCGCAAGGTCTGCCAGACACAAAACCCGCTCGCACACTGAGCAAAATGTCTCTATCATACACGCAGCATAAACTAGTTTGACCGGACAAGAACAAGTAACAGTAACTCGCCTTCGGGCCGGACACCAGCGCCGGTCAAGACTCGCAAGCGCCGTTTAAATATTGGTACCTGACTTAGCATGGCCGAGATGCCAATGCCACACAAAATACACTTTTCAATACTGATAGTGATAGATTCAATATTTTATTACATATATTCCCGTGCACACACACACACACACACACACACACACACACACACACACACACACACACACACACACACACACACACACACACACACACACACACACACACACACACACACACACACACACACACACACACACACACACACACACACACACACACACACTATATATATACATATATATATATATATATATATATATATATATATATATATACATATATACATATATATATATACATATATATACATACATATATATATATATATATATATATATATATATATATATATATATATACATATATATATATATATATATATATTATATATATATATATATATATATATATATATATATAATATATATATACAGTATATATATAAAGACAGAGAGGAGGGACAAACAGTAATACAGCGACAAGAAAAAGCGACTAACGGTCCGCATTCCTGAGTTTTTCCCTCTTCACTTGGCACGAGCATCTAACACACCCTGACGGAGGTGGCACTTCCCGGGATCAAGGGAGGATCAGACAGTGCCACTTCTCCGCTCTGTGCTCCCGCCGCCCTCAGCCTGAGCCGGGATGACCGCCGCCGTCCGCACTGCTTACACGGGGGCGGAGCAAAGTGCGAAAGGGATACGGGAAGGAGGGAAGGAGAAGAGGGAGGGAGGGAAGGAGGGAGGAAGGAGGAGGGGAGGAGGAGAGAAAGGAGGGATGGAAGGGGAGGGGAGAGAAATAGGGAGGAGGAAAGGAGGAGGGGAGGAGGGAAGAGAGGAGGGAGGGAGGGAGGGAGGAGGGAGGGGAGGGAGGAGAGGGGGGAGGGAAGGAGGAAGGGAGGGGAGAGAAATAGGGAGGAGGAAGGGGAAGGGAGGAGGGAGAGGAGGAGGGGATGGGAAGAGGAAGGATAGAGGGATGAGGAGGAAGGGAGCAGGGAGGGAGAGGGAGGAAGGAGAGGAGAGGAGGGGGAGGAGATGGGATGGAAGGAAAGAGGGAAGGAAGAAGGAGAGGAGGGAGAGAAGGAGGAAGGGAGGAAGGGAAGGATAGAGGAATGTAGGAAGAGGAGAGGGAGGAAGGGAAGTAGGAAGGTGATGTGAGAGGGAAAGAGGGAGAGAAGGGTGAAAGGGAGGCAGGCAGGAAGGAAAAGGAGGAGGAAGGAGAGTAGTG